ATACATTGTCGTTCAAGTTTTGAACTGGAATGTTCAGGTCCGAGGCTTTAGCTCTGTGGTGCTCATTTCGTCTTTGGATTAAGGATCAACTTGTGTATGGTTTGTGCGGCAACAGCGATGAATTTGTTAGAAGCAACGGATAAATTACTCTAATTATTTGTTTATAAGCGTGTATTAGTTATATAATATTTATAGTTTAAAACGAAAGTTGGAATTCTAATTATACTTTTCACACACACATAAACTTCAACCAAAGATGTGTATGCTAGTTACTTTCTCCACAAAAGCTTAATAGCCAGGAAATTCTACACAATCAGCAAAAAATATTTGCAAATATCACTAGGAACACCTATTTTTTCCTAATAGATCAAAATTTAAGGAACTTTTTTTTTTAAAAAAAAAAAAAAACATGTAGAATTTTAGCTGTCAGTACACGAGCAAGCAAATAAATTGACGTAAAAGAATTTACAATGAGTTTGAAGAAGTGGAAAACCCTTCCGAAAGTGCACGGTGTCCCAACTAGTCATCATCTTCAGAATCTGTTCAATGATATATAAAAAAACATTAGTAAAGAGAGAGAGAGAGAGAGAGAGAGAGAGAGAGAGAGAGAGAGATAGAGAGAGAGAGAGAGGCTTGGATCTTGACAAACTTTCTAGTAACAAATTTCTCAGTGTAGACAATAAAAATGAATTTGCTCGCAAAAAATGGACCTTAAAGCAAGAAAATGATCCGAGTCTAGGAGAGACACAAACCTGATCGTATATCTTCCCCGACTTTTCCTCTATTTTTGAGCTGTCTCATGATCATCGAGTATATGAGAATCCACCAGTAAATGTGAAAAACAAGCAGGGTCAACAACATTGTATTGAAGAAATAGTACAACGCCGTTGAGTAAGGCTGAGACAGGTCCAACACATCACATAAATAGTAGCTGACAAGACACAACAGGGAAGAAGAAGAAGAAAAATTATCATAAAGACTTTAATAGATCAATGTGAAAAAATTAAATACTGTAGAGAATAAAAAAAAAAGAAAGAAAAATATCCACAAAACCAACCTCGTGGACCTTATGACCCAAAATGGGAAAAATACGAGCCTTAAGACAACCCATGACAAGGCAAACAAACCAAAGCACAGGCTAGCACCGAGCTCTTTTCCAGAGTACTTGAAAACTTTAGCTGCTTCGAGGAATACATCGCTAGCATCATGCAGTGCAAGGATAACTGTTCCTACTCGAAAGAACCTGGAAAAAATTACACGCATATTTCTACATTAACAACTTTATTTTGGAATATGTGTTTTGTCCGACTTTCAAAGCAGTTTATCAATCATTGTCTCTAATATTCAAATGTTCGTAAAGCCGTCTTGATTATAGAAAAAAGAAGGGGAGAAGATGATTCTATCAAACTTAGCTACATACTAATAAATTAACCAAAAAACAAAACTCAACTTTTCAACTCGAACTTGATGAATTTTTTGTAATAGGTACCAAAAACATATTTACGTAACTGAAGAAGTATATGACAGTCATTTGAATATAATTGTTAAGATAAGCAATGGGCAGAGTAGAAAAGGGTACCCTGTGATGTACGAAAAAGCAATTAACAAGACTGTGATAACATGATGAGACATCATGACTGAGAAATCCTTTCGTCTCGTTTCCCATGCGAGGAGAGCAGCTATGCTATATGTGTAAAACCCACATTCGCACATGTAAACAAGTTTCACCGAAAGCCTGAGATAGTCAATTCAATGGAAGTTTAGGAACAAAACGGCCACAAATTGTGTGCAAAAATGTACCAAGTATTGGCGATAATAGTTCCGTGCTAGTAAGATCCACAGAGACAAATCTTACTTCAATTCTTGATTAGGCCAGCCGGTAAAATACTCCTTTACGTTTGTGAACCATGGTTCATGGTAGATAGCTGCCACAGTACAAAACTCAATAGTAGCATAGTACGTAAGCTTCCACAGGGACTCTGAACATTTCACTATTTTTGCTTTAGTTTCATTGTTTAGTTTCGGCTGAGAGGTACCTCTCCTCAACATCCAAGTTGATAGACTCTGGAATTAAGACGAAAAACATATTTAACAAATGAATATCTATCTAATGCAGACATGAACTTATCTCACAATAAATCGTGTCCAAAGACGGAAAATGTCCGTCGATGCTTAATCAACGAAGAAATAGTCGATTTTGACTCAGTACCAACACAAGTAGACATGTTCACTATTTACACAAACTTGATAACTTATTTGATCAATAAAAGCTCAAATGCAATGGCATTGTCCATACTTGCTCAATCAACTAGCTGGATCGACTATCTTAATCCAATAATTTTCACCAGTTTTTCGGGAACAACTAATTCAAACTTTCGAAATCAAACATACGCTACCAAAATGCATTTCGCACATCACATCCAATTTTAAGCCAACGATTCCAAAAGCAAGAGGAAATTAAATGCTGAAAAAAAAAAGAGAGAGAGATAGATTAAGAAGCTTACACGGAAGATGAATCTGTCGAGGATGAACCTAGCGGCGACGAATGTAAGCGCAAAGTAGAAAGCGAGGATGAAATGCGAGGCGGTGGGGACGTGACTGTCGGTCCAGATCGACTCCATCATGCCCCAATCCAAAACCGAGAGCGCATCAATCAAACAAGTCCTATCGACGACGAATCAAAATCGGTGTATCTCAACGGCGTGCAAGCAGCCGATCGATCGCCGATCCTCGCCGCAGTGAATGAACGGCGAAAATTTGATGGGTGTTGATTCGCACAAACAAACTTCAATGGATTAAAAAATTATATATTTATATATATTATGGGCAATAATGGGGGAGAAAGAGGAGAGAGAAGAGAATAAAAAAGAGGAGAGAGAATAATAAGGGAGTAGAGTGGATTGAGGGAGAATGTTGGTTTATTATTAACGACATTTGAAAGAAATATGGAAAAGGAGAACTTTGCCGTCTATTTCGGTCTTCTGGCCTTAATAAGTACTAGTAGTATTTATTTATTTATGAGTGCATTGCTTTTGGTTAAGATAAAGATGAAAACTCTTGGCCAATCAAATCGCGTTGGATTAACTGGCACACACATGTGATATTCTGATGAACAAAAAAAAAAAAATGTACAAAAAAAAAAAATGTTGAATTAACTGGCAATAGAATAAAAAATGTTGAATTAACTGGCACACATGTGATACTCTGATTGAAATAAAAAAGGACAAAAAAAATTGGCACACGTGTGAGGATATGTAATATGAATATATATAAATTATTATTATTATTATTATTATTATTATTATTATTATTATTATTATTATTATTATTATTATTGTTAGTATTATTATTATTTGTTTAAAGATGAGATATGAATTTTTCATTAAAAAAAAAAGAAAAATAATATAAATAGTTAACTCAAATAACAAAGAAATAATTAAAATATGATATTGTCATATATATATATATATGGTCACGCTCTAGTGAGAATGATGCTCAGCGAAATAAATAAGAAGACATTGTGACCATTAAATCGGATAATCAAACGAACAAAAAAAAGTTTAAAATTGTACCATCATTAAAGGTATTTTGGGCACTTTGCACACACCCCACCAAACCTAATTTATCAGTGGGCCCCACATCCTAACCCACCAACCCCCGTCCCTGTAAATGTTTCTCTGTTCGCTCGCGCATGTACAGGTCGTCGACGCTCATCTCCGGTGAATACGGCCTCGTTCGTTAGCAACTCGGCAACTTACGCTCACCACCGACATCGGCGAACAACAGTCTTCGTTTAGCCGCCACCTCCGAGAGTCCTCGACCGCACCACCACTCTCTGCTGCTCCAGGCGGTGCTGCCGCCACCATCTTGCTTCTTCTTCTCCACCACGACGGAGACAACATCTTTCGCCGATCCACACGATCAATTTCAACTGAGAAACACGAAGCCAAGATCTCCCGGTCAAAATCGGCCATTAATATACGAGCTCGAAATTCCATGCAACTGCTCAACGTCAGACATCATGGGCAACAAAATTAGTTATCCGGTGTCACAAGAAGCTCCCAGAGGTCAGACAGGCGGTAGACGATCAACCACGATGGTCGGACGTGAAAGCTCCGGTCAGCTCATCCACAGCCATGGCGGACACCTTTTTTTTTTCTCCGACGTTGCGACAGCCAGAACGGTGGTTGTACATGGTGGCTTCGGTCGGCGACTCTTCGGTGGTCGGGATGGCAGAGACGTGACAGGTGGTCTGAAGGACACCTAATATTTTTTATTCTAGGGGCTTAATTTTTGGAAATTGGATTTTTTTTCAATGGACCTATATGCAATTTCTAAAACTTTCATTAAATTACCATTAAGTATTTGGGTTGAATGTGTAATTTAAAAAAAAAAAAAAAAAAACAATAGATGCACATTAATAGACTAATAGTAAGCAAAGTGCGCAAAATTGGTTAATTTAGCGATAATGTGCATAATGTACCGCATAAATGGGTGTGTAAAGATCAACCAAAATCGAAAACCCAACCAAAATCAACCATAATAATTTTTTTGTCCAATTCTTTATATGTTAATATGATTATTTGTTATTTATCCTTACATGCATATTATTTCTTAAGACAACAAATAATATAATATATTTTTTTTGGTACACGGACCTTCCGGTTTCCGGATCCACAGGGGAACCGACTAATCCGGAATATAAATAATATAATATATTAAATATAAAAGTATTAAACATACTAAATAAATTAGTTAAATAATATTGTATTTCAGTTATTTTGGTTAGTTCGGTTAGACAACCAAATAAACCAATTAATTCAGTTCACTTTTAATTTGGTTTGACACAAAAAAGATCAACTGATTCAGACCGTGCATAGTAGAGACTGGAACTGTGCACGATATGGTTAGACGAATAGCACATTAATGTCTTCCAGGATTGACAACTACGATCAAACTAAAATTTTTGGTCCGAATTTTCATATTTCAATTCGATTGTTTGTTTGTACTTTTAAAAATTCATTTATTTCTACAAATATATATAGGTGTGTGTGAGTTGTGTGTGCTTGTGTGTGTGTATAATATAAATTACTAAATAAACATATACAAAAATCGACCTCAACAGAATAATAATATTGTGTATATGACCGAATTTTTCAAAATATTGACGACAACTGAATACATGTTTAATATATTTTTATTCAGTAAATGTATTTTTCTACCCATGTAATACGCTTTTAAAAATTCGATCGTTTAGGTTTTTCAAAAGTTTGATTTTTGACGTTTCGGTCTGTTCGACACAACCGACTGATTAACAATGTTCTACATTCCGTAATTTATTTGATCTTTTAATGTACATATACATACACTATATTGTGCATTGTAGTGAACATATGTTATTTTTTAGTTATATTATAGATGAGTAAAATACATTTTTCGTCATGTATGTTTACCCCTCTAAACATTTTAGTCCTCTTCGAATTGCGTTTTTTATTTTCGTCTCGTATGTTTGAAAAATGGTTACAGAAATGTCCTTTTCGCAATAAAAAGGTCCTTTATGTTTTGCAATAAGGTGTTCCAATTTCATCCCTTATCTATGAAAAAGACCTTTTTGTAACCTTTTTTCAAACATACGGGACGAAAATAAAAAACGCAATTCGAAGAGGACTAAAATGTTTGGAGGGGTAAACATACAGGACGAAAAATGCATTTTACTCTATTATAGATTTTACCCAAAAACAAAATTGCAATAAATTGATTTTATTTTTTCTAAATTGCAACTAAATCATCATAACTTATATAAAATCCCCAATTTGCCTCACGTACCAAACTGAAATATATTAAAATTTAACAAATCGAAATTCGATCCATCAAATCTATCAAATTTTCCAGAAAAACAAAAAGAAAAAAAGAACGCAATTCTTGTTTGAAAAAAAACTGCAAAAATCCGTCCATTCCCCATTCCCCAACATTTTTTCACCCGCCCTTTCTGGCCACCACCGTTGCCATCCTCACCTCCCAAGGTTCACCCACCGCCGCCTTCTTCCTCTACAAATCTCGACAAAGTTGCGGCCGACAGCGGCGTTCGAGTCGACTTACTTGTGGACGTGGCTGATGGCTATAAGGTGCGCGATGGACACTTTGCTGTTAGCTGACATAACAAATGGTGGAATAAAGATGTGTGGCCAACATTTGGTATGACTTAAATATGTATTTTGTATAAAATAAATGTACAACAATAATATCACTAATTATGCATTGCTTATGAACAAATTTTTCAATTCCTATGAACAAAAAGTTCATTTTGAATGAACTAAATATGCAGTCAAAATATGTAACTGACAGCAATATCCTCGAGCCTTCTCCATTATTTATGTTTCCATTTAAGTATGCAATATTAATAACTAAAGTATGTGTTGTGTATTATCTAGATATGCACCCGAAAATAAACTAAATGTGCATCAATAATGTAATAAAAAAAAAACCCACGAGCCATGGTGCACTATTAACACTTTAAATAAACTACAAATTAACCCCAAAGATCAAATTGCAATAACTTATAAGTTTATGAAATTTCAATTGAACCCCCAAGATTTATCTAATTCTCAAAGACATGCCTCCCTAAATTGCAATTTGATTTTCTTCATCTTCCATGTAGTCCTCCAGTCCTCCTCCCCTCCGTACTCCAGCAGCGCCCTTACGTCCCACTCCACGCACGCTGCCGGTTCGAATAAGGAACAAAGGCCGAGATCTGTAATCTATTTCTAATCGTAGGATGGATTCTTCGATTTTCTGGCGCGGATAAGAGGTCGGCTTACTAGATCCGTCGTTCTCTACCACCAATCTTTGAGCGCCGACGAGCCGCATGAGGTAGAGTAAGCGATGGGATATTTTGGACGCACTATATTTTCATATGCTTGGGTGCTGGGGAAGAGCTCCTGGCCCACCGACGGGAGAAATTGAGATCCCAATTCAACTCGATGAGCAGTGACTCAACGACGAGCCACTACACCAACTTCAGTCACCGCTCATTTGAGCTCCTGGCTAGCTCGCCGGAGGCGGCAACCCGCACGTCGGACTCTTTCTTCT